TCTTATGTTTAAGTCTAAAAATATGGAACGCTCCATGAATTTGCATGTCACCCTTGTGCAGGGGCCATGCTAATCTTCTCTGTATCATTCCAATTTTAGTGTAACTGCTGCTGAAGCGAGCACAAGTGTTCATCTTTATTCTACTTACCATTCTGCAGAATGTCACTAGATCTGTGTCTCACTTCATAGAAAATAAACCTTTAGGCTATTTTTTTTAAATAACATATTTGTTTTTCACCTAAAGGTGGCTCACATACCCATGTTTATGCTTAAAAACTCTTCTTTCATCGCACTTTTCCTGATTTTCCTTGGATAATTAAATAATTGTTCTCACTTCCTGCTTTTGGGTTGGCAGTTTAGTCCTGTTTCTAGAGCAGCTTTTGTTGCAGATCATGAGATAAAACCACTTTTCCATTCTTCTTTCCAGTTTCCTTACATAATACAATTGAAGAGCCAGTGGATCCCACTGGATAAATCAATTGTGAAGTCGACTAAAATGCTAAATGGGGTCTTCAGTGTTATCCATCCATAAAGAGAACACATTGCAAATATTGTTAACAAGTCCAAACTGGTACCTTGCCCCTCTAAAATTGATTCTCTTGATTTATAAATACCGTGGCTTATTTTTCAGGATGGTTCACTATTTTCCCACTTTATTTCATAAATAATGAAATTCTTATGTCCTTCTTGGACCAGAGTCACAGTCAAATGCACATCATTTTACACACACACATTCACACACTTAACAATATGGCTGTCCTTCTGACACTTTCTGTGGGCCAAAGTTGAGTATAAATTATGTGATATCAGCTTGCCAGCAGCAGCAGCCACTACAAATCTGCCGATTCCTGCACTTATTAAAGAAAGATCAATTATGTCAAATTATCTTGTGGTATAATAGAAAACATCATGAGTACTAGTCAATTCGATATTAATTTAGTATCTTGTATTTGACACTGCTTGCCACTGAGCTAAATCTAAATTTCTTAGCCCATAAAACAGTCATAATGGGCTGTCCCTCTATTATTTTGCTGCTGCCTACTACTATTTCTACCACCTCCAGCACTGCCACCACTGTAAACACTACTGCTACTTCTACAACACTGGGATCACATACAGCACTCAGTATGCAATAGTTTTCTGATTATTTTCATTTAATACCCAAAACATCTCATGATATAGAAACTATCAATGTGTCTGTTTTATAAATGTACAAATGAAAGCACAAAGCAGCTAAGTGATTTGCCCAAAGTCACATGGCTAGTAAGTGGCAGAATAAGGATACAAATTCTGGCTTTTTAGCATCAGAACTCTGCACTACCCTGTATAACCACACTTAATTTAACAACACCAGATATGGGATTGATGTATAAAGAAACATTCAGTTTGTGTATTTTCCTGTGTTAATGTGAGAAATAGGAATTTCTTTGCTGGTATAGCTGCAAATATGATATCTTTTTATTTTTCTAATTAATTGGAAGTGGTCCACCTATTTTATTAGCAGTGCTGTCTTCTTCTTGAGGTCTTCACGCCCAACTCTTGCTAATTGTTAAAGAACCTAAGGGGTCTTCTCAGTCTTTCGAACACCAGATGGACAGCTGGGTTATTGGCTCAGTGCCCTCCTCTTGCCCTTCATTCTCAGTGTTACAGTTTCCCCCTGATGACCAATTCCCTATTGCTCCACAGTGCTCATCTACTGTGGTAACTATGTCTTGCTAGTTCATTCATTCAGCAAATGTTTTTAGTGACCACATAATATAGGCAGGCCCTGTGCTTCACTGCTAGCTGGACTACAAAGAATTTCAAGAGAGACATAAACAGCTTCTCTTTAAGAAGCTTACATTCTGGTGGGAGAAATAGACAACAAAGAAGGAGGCCAATAACTAAGGAAAATAACTACAAATAGTTATGAGTGTCCAAAGGAAGGAAGGATGAAATAAAGAGTGTAGTTCAATTAAGGATACATAGGCAAAGCATCTTTAAGGAGGTTTCATTTAAGACCTGCAATTATAAAATTGTCCTAAAATTAGATTATGATGATGGTGCACAACTCTGAATATACTGAAAGTATCTTTGAATTGCTAATTTTAATCAAGTGAACGTTATGATATATAAATTACGTATCAATAAAGCTGTCAAAAAAAAAAAAACTATAACCAGGTACTGATATCCAGCAGAGGTATGACCAGAAGTAGACTGCTTTGTATTTTCTGCTGTTGTGTCTATTGAAAATTCT